ATAAGATAATAAATACGTATTATTTGTAATAACCAAACAATCTGTGAATATGTTGTGAAGTTGATATTCAACTGAAGTTATACCTGACTAAAATTGCTAACTAATGCACAGTGATCTAATTTCCAAGCTAATTTCATTCAAGTAACACTTCAGTCAATTAAAATTGCAACTTCAATCGGATATCAACTTCAGTCACGACATACGCGTTGTAAGTGGGACTGAATTTGGAATTTGTTGGGGTTTTAGGTTAGGGTATGGGTTTATATAAATACATTCTACCCTAAAATTAATAAATTCCAAATCAGTTCCAACTTACAACCTATGCATATTTTAAACGTAAAATTTAAATCTAAATTTTTTCGTTAAAGTTTTGTATATAATTTTATACGAGCTAAAATGAATATTGTCATTCAATGCTGCAAAATGTTTTATAATTTGATTAAACAAAATTTATATATTGTTTAAAGGTCGGCCCGGTCGAAGCCCATTTTTGCCAGCCCTCGTCCCACAAACTTTTTATCGGTCCGTATCACTACTTTGTAGAATTACTAAACAATCACAGAAGTGTAGGATTAATTCTTCTGCCTGCATCACTAATCAGGCCGATATCTAAAAAACAGATTATTTTTCTAATGGTAGATATTGCACGATTTACAAAGCGCAGCGGAAGTCCTTTAGTATATGCGTAAAATAATACAAATTTACGTTTTTATGCATTTAGACCAAAATGGTTACTTTTTTTTTGATGCATTTGCATAAGTATAAAAAAATCATATTCGAAACTTAAATTGGAAAATTTTCACGCGCGTCAATATTTGTAACAAAAGTGTACATTTACGCGTTTGTGTTACTGACACATAATGCCGTGCATTAATCTAATCTACTAAATGATTGTTACACTAATGAAAGCAGCTGACATAAATAATTCAGATAATGAAATAGTCTTTTTTTTTAAAATTATTCCTAAAATGTCTGAAGATTGGATTGCGAATAAAATCAATGGAGGTGAAATCACCGAATATAAGCTTGAGGACTTTGAAGAATTCTCAACAATCACTATAGGTGCTTTCAGTAAAGTTTATAAGGCAAGATTACGAAGTACAAAGAACATGTATGCGTTGAAAATTATTGAGAATAATGAACATATTAATAAAGAGCTTGTGAATGAAGTAAGAAACATTAATTGAATATGATCATTGGATAAATATTTATGCTAAAATGTATGATTATGCAACCGATATGTAGTTGAAGCATATGATTTCTATGAAACCTCATAAGAATATTATTGAGTTTCATGGCATTATTAAGCATAAGGGTAAGAAGATTGTTAATGATCAATTTTTGTAAATAACAATGTTTTAACATTATTCATTATACAAAATAGATCAACTAGATCCAAATAATGTTAAATATGGACTTGTTCTTGAGTATGCAGATGGTGGAACTTTACGTGACTATCTTAAAAATGCAAATGAAATTGAATGGGAATTAAAAATTCAATTTGCAATTCAACTTGTAGATGCAGTTAGATGGTTACATGATCATGATATTATTCATGGAGATCTGGTAAATTTTATAATAATTTAGGATTTCGATTGGATATGATTGTGGTGTTAATAAAATTCATGAATTCTGTTTTTTTTTTTCATCTTAAAGCACTCTAATAATATACTTATCCATCAAGATGCCCTCAAATTGGCAGACTTTGGACTATCACAACGTGTTGTCGAATCTTCTAAGTCTAAAACTACAAGTGAAATTTTTGGTGTTATACCATATATTGATCCTCAATGCTTTATGGTGACAGAAAACCAAAATGGAAAATCTCGCAGACATAAAATGAATAAGAAATCGGATATTTATAGCATTGGAGTTATCCTTTGGGAAATATCAAGTGGAAAACCGCCATTTGGTGACGACCATGACACAGCAACTTTGGCATTAAGAATAAGAAACGGACTAAGAGAGAAACTAATTGCTGATACGCCTCACAAATATGTTACTATTTATGAGCGTATGTTTGCATTATAATTTATGGCTTATATTTTTGTATATTACAATCACAAGTTCTTATTCGAATTTTAAACTTAATTTAGAATGTTGGCAGGGGACACAAGATAATCGACCATCTATCCAAGAAGTAGCTATGGAATTAAAAAATATTATTGCCCAAAACACCGAAATCAACATTGAAGATATCGATAATACAAAAACTCTTGAAATTTATCTTGATAACGCTTTTGGTATTAATAACGTTAAAATTGATTTAAAGCATGATATGATTCTTTTTGTAAACAATCTATATTCGACTTTTAGTAAGCTATTTAATGAAGGTGGGTCGGTTAGTTATATAATTATAAATTTCATATCCAAACATAACAAGACCCCAGAAGAAGTTTTTAATTGGTTGTTGATAAATAATGATAATTCAAAGTATATCCTCCTACTTGGATTATTTTATAATTGGGGTATTGGAACAGATAAAAGTGACACGGAGTCATTTGATTTATTTCTCAATGCAGCAACAAAAGGCAATGTAATTGCACAGTATTTTGTTGGAAGGTGCTATGAAGTTGGTTGGAACACCAAGAAGAGTATTAAGGAGGCAATTGAATGGTACAATAAAGCAATTGGGGATGGATGTCCAGCCGCAGAATGTATGCTTGGAAATTATTATTATAAAAATGGTGAATATATTCGAGCATTTAAATTACTCGAAAGCGCAGTTAAAAAAGGAAATGTAGCAGCGATGCATACCTTAGGATTATGTTATCAAAAAGGTCGTGGAACTAATGCTAATATAGCTGAAGGATTTAAATTATTTGAAGAGGCGGCTAAAATGGGACTGCCTTCTTCACAATATGAACTTGGTCAATGTTACGAATATGGTAAAGGAACAAAAGAAAATTTGGAAAAGGCATTAGATTGGTACCAAAAAGCTGCAGAAAAAGATCGTACTTACCGAAATGATCGTGAACGTGTAAAGCTTAGAATTATAAAAGATCGTGGCTAAAAACACTAATATTAGTAATGAATGTGAGAGGAATTGTTCCGTTTAATTTTTTTGATTTATGCAAAATATTTTTAGTAAGTGTGAATGATTTTTCATTGCCTATTTTTAGAAATAATTAGGTTTTTCGTGCTATATGTTTTGTATTAAAAACGCCTATTCCGTCGTTGTTGTTATCATGATGTTACGGCGCAAGGTCAATAGCGACAATATATTAGTATGGTTGCCTTGATGAACTTAAGTTGACTTCGAATGATAACAAAATTTATCGTGCAAATTATGATCATGCTTTACAAGTCGTGGTTGATTGAGAATAATGCGCTGGGCGTTATTTCGCCCAAATACGGCACTAATTGATTTCATTATAGATTTTAAATAAAAGGAGTATTTATTAATCTAAATCTAAAATAAGAGTTATACTTGTATATCAAAGAAAAAGTTTATACATATGGTCTGAATTTAAATTCAAATGCTTGGAAATCTTTAAGGATTCGTCGTTTCGCCAACGTTATGCCGTTTCACCGTTTCGCTAGGGTCTCATCATTCACCTTTGTTTTGGCCTAAGCTTCATCTTTCGCTATTTCCAAGAAATGGTTTTGCCTAACACCTGTACGAATGTAAAATTTGTCGGATCTCATTATGCTACGTTTTGATTGACAGCGCGCCTCAAATTACTAACAAACCTTTGACATAATTAAAATCATGCATATTTGATCGAAATTTTTTTTACCGTTCAGCACTGATTATCGTACCTAGGATCCAAACCTCCCATTTTTTAAATTGATTAATACCCGCAGATACTTGTATACTGTGTACAATATTTGGATATAAACATATATGAAAAATAGCAAACTAATATCAACACCCGTGCATTATTCAGGAATTAGGCTGATAGGAATGGTGAATAGTACTGAGTTCTTAACCATGAGGTATTATTTTTATGGGGACACTATAGTCAGTACTAAATGGTGTATTACAACAGCCGCAAAAAAATAAAGCAAAAAATGTTAATAAAAACAAATCTATATTTATTTTTATTTGGTCCTCTACAAAAGTTCAGATTATAGTCTATGAACCATAACTGAAATACGTTTCATTTGTTAAAAGAAAACAATAAAAATCTGCATGATCTTATAAATTAACGGTTACTCGTTGATTAATGGACATAATCGTTGATTGATAGATGCACTATTTGTCACTGGGTATTTTGGTTATGAATTCTATAAACATGAGCAAATTATGAAGGTCTAAAATTTTTAAATAAGTATCAAATAATGAATTAATTACATTATACAAGACTAAAGAAAAAAAACTATACTAAAGGGAAAAGAAATAAGAGAAATGTCGATAATAAATAAGATTAAAATGTATATATATATCAACATCAAGCATATTTTGTTGGATATTTGTATTATTTGTATTTATAATTTCTAAAATACCAAAAAGCTACTCCTAAGAGAGTAACAGCCCAAGAAATAATATAGTGTATGTAAGGTCTCTCTGTTATATCATCAGATACGTGATGTCCATTTGCAAATGATGCAAAGGCAATAAAACTTACGAATAAAAGGAAAATTATATTAATAAATATAGGTATTTCGAAATATTCTCCGCTTTCTTGTTTCTTCCTTATAAACTAATTAAATAAACCTTCTTAATAATCAAACAATTTAATAAATTAATATAATGAAATTATTACTCACAAACAATGAAATTGAGCTGACTCCATGAAACATCAAAGCCAAATATTGTGACGTATCAGAGAAAAAATCAAAAGCGTTTCCTCCCTTTATTGAAAACAAAATTATAAAAAGCGAACAATAGCAAAATTGTGCCAACAATGCATTAGTTGGAGTATTGAATTTTGTATGCCAACGGTTGAATGTGTTAGATATTCTGGGTATGAAATTGGTTTGTGCAGCGTATGCTATAATTCGTGCATAACTATTAAAAGCCTAGGGTATTAGTTCAATGTAAAAAAAATTACATCTAATTATGAATGATAATTTGGTAAACTTACACAAAGTACATTGACCCAACACTTCCAAAAGCAGATATTGCAACAAGCACTGACATAAACTTTATTCCAAGTTTATTATTTCCGAGGAAACGTAAGGCAATAGCATTATCAAAACTCTCATTGAACTCTGTCATTTTAATAAAATAGTCATGGTCAACCACTGTTATAAAAGCAACATTAGTAAGGAAATCTAAAAAAATAAAAAAAAATTGCAGTTATTTTTATAGAATTATAGGCAAGATAAAATAAAAATAAAAATAAATAACAGAAGGCCGAAACCATACACAATATAGAGGAAACAACAACGCTAATGATGATTGAATATTTCAGGTTTCTTTTTTCTGGAAATTTTAATTCTTCAGTTGAATCTATAATGAATGATCTTTATCAATTATATTTAAAACTTTATTCAATCTAATTTAATCCAAATATTGCAAGTTATCTTACAATTTATATTATTCCATCCTTAAATACATCGTAAACAAGTATATAATTAGCATCTTTTGTCATAAATGAAAATATCAGATCTTTATAAACATACCTTCATATGCAAATAGAATCTATGTTTAAATTTTAATAAATGATTTGAAAGTTTTTATGATAGAACGATAATTTAATTTACCTTTATCATAGCATCACTATAATCTCCCAACGTAGGTGAATGTGTATTAAAAATAGTTTTCCAATTACTAGCGCTAGATAAATTTACTAGCCCAACTATGGAGATTATAAGCAAGGCCATAATTTTTATCAAGGCGAATGTTTGATTTATATAGACTGCCAATCTATTAGAGAATATATGGTATATCATGACAATTGCTAACATAATAATTGCAGCAATTGGTTGAATACTATAGATTCAAATAAAGTTAAAATATTACATCTATATATACAATAATATAAATCATTCAAAAAATTTTAGTTTACATTTTGTCATAGTCATCAGAATTTCCTCGAATAGCATAAAGAAAGTATCTTGCAGAAGTATAGGAATCAGCTATTATAGATCCAGGAAAGATTGCGCTTTTATAAAAATTGAGCTTATTATATATATATATACACATATATACATACATAGTAACAACGATTTAAAATTACTTACAAAATTGCAACAAAACTAAATATATACCCCAAATTATTTTGAAATGCATCTTCAATGTAGAATTGTTCTCCTATTCCCCGAGGAAATGCCCTAATACCCAACTATAAAAAGAAAATCAAACAATTAATAATAAGATGAACTAAAACAATTTTACTTGTTTAATTGTTTTTTTCCAAATATAATTTACCTCAGCGTAAACTAGACCACCAAATAAACTAATAAAACCACCAACAACCCAAAGCACTAAAGCAATTCCTGGTGACTGAATTTGCCACCATATAAAACCAGGGTTT